TTACATTCAAATGGGCCAAGTGATGAGAGCAACAAAGGCCGATTTTGCGAGCCTAACCCCTAAACTCTAAACCCAAGACCCGAAACCCTGAACCCCAAACCCTAAGCTTCCATAAGGGGGCTGTTCAACATGGTGGTCTCCTTGGGCTTCCTATTGTCACAATTCCAATACTTTGGGTGTCCAACAAGGGATCATAGTTTAGAACGCGGTTCATGTGCCGATCCACCCCGTTTGTGGAAGAAGCACCGTTGACCGTGGTTTCGGGTTTGGGGTTTAGGGCAGAAGGCCTAAACCCAAAAACAGAAGCCCAAACCCTCAACCCACCCCCTCAAAAAGCCCTAAGCCCAAAATCTAAGCACAATCTGCCAAAAACTATGAGACCCATACCCAACAGCCCCAAGCCCTTAAATGGGGTTTTGGGGTTTGGGTTTTGCGCCCTAAGCTCTAAGCCCTAAAGCCCTGAAGCCTGAACACTCAACCCTAAACCATAAACCCTAAACCCTAAACCCTAGGCCCTAAACCCTGAACCCAAACCCTAAGACTCTAACCCAAGTTCAACCCCCTATCCTCGTACGCGTCGTCTCTTGTGCCGGGCCGAAGCATGCTTGAACCCTGGCAACTGGCAACTGCGAGGGCGTTGCTTTAGGGTTAGGTAGGGGTTCTACATATAACCCTAAACCTCAAACCCTAAACTCGGAAATTTTTGTTCCATTACTTTTCTGCATGCTGCATCCATAGTTGTACCTATACCTATGTTTATGTATACAAGGCGCTTAGGGCTAAGTAGGGTTCCATAAGAGTCATACAACGGGTATCACCTGCCTAGAATAGAATGCAACACCTTGAGTTTCTACTTGGGTGCATTTGGGGGTTTGGGGTTTGGGGCTTAGGGCTTCCGGTGCAGGGTTTAGTTACGGTTTGGGGGTATAAGGAGGGAACCCTAACCCGGTGGTGCCGACCCTCTTCCATCGGAGCTGAACCGGCACCTCTGACTCCTCGCTCTGGGTGGCTGCGCTGAACCCCCCTAAAGCCGAAACCCGTAACCCTTTCAAAAGCGCTCGCCTTTCCAGATCCTGCTCCGTCTCACCTTGATCTGATGGCGATGGTGACAAAGAAAAATGCCGCCCCGCCGGCTTTTCGGCACAAAAAGCGGGCCCCGACAACCTTCGGGGCCATTCCCATCCCCGTACCTACCGCAATCTCACTCACTCCTCTGACTTTCTTCTCTTCTCGTCTCTTCTCTTCTCTTCTCTTCTCTTCTCTTCTCTTCTCTTCTCTTCTCTTCTCTTCTCTTCTCTTCTCTTCTCTTCTCTTCTCTTCTCTTCTCTTCTCTTCTCTTCTCCTCCTCTCCTCTCCTCTCCTCTCCTCTCCTCTCTTCTCTCTCTCTCTCTCTCTCTCTCTCTCTGTCTCTCCCCATCTCTTTCTCTTCCTCTCTTTCTCGCATCTCTCGCTCTCTCTCTCTCTCTCTCTCTCTCTCTCTTTCTTTATCTGGGGAAGGGGCGGGGGGGGGCTTGGGGGAATACCCGCGATCAACCTCAAAGCCCCTCCCAACACCTGCAAGTGGTTTAGGATTTAGGGTTGAGGGCTTGGGGCTTGGGATCCAAATCAAACTCCTCCCCCACGTCAGGAAGCCCGGCACTACTAGCCCAAGTCAACCTCCCTATCCACAGATTGTTTCGGCCATGGTCAGGTGAGTCTGGATGCACGTAAACCTAACCCCAAACGCCCTAAACCCAAAACCATGTAAAGTCCTATAAGCCCCTATCCCTTAAAGATAGGGCAGAACCAAAATAGTGGGTAAATGGGGCCCAAGCAAGCCCTATCACCCCAAAATGCCCTATAGACCCCTAAGTGGGGCGCCTGTGGGCCAGAGACAGGTTGGCCCGCGAAGCTTCAGCTTGTGTCTGTGAAAGGGGTTTTGGGTTTAGGGTTGTTAAAGGGCGTGTCTAGGGCTTTGTGGGTCTAGGTTGGTTCCTGTTTTTGTTAAACGGCTTCTAGTGATTTTTGTTGTGTGAGTTTTAGCTCTTTGCTTTAATCTGACTTGATTTTGCTTTCAGGGGGGATGTGCACACACACATATGTATATATATAGATATACACATATACATGTTTGGGTCGTTCTCTAACTTGGCCAGGCTCAAGCTTTCAGGGCTTTTCCTGATGCCCAAGTACATCCCTTAACAAGGGCCTGAAGAGTTTAGGGCCTAGGGTTTGGGGTTAGGTTTTAGCGTTAGGCCTTGACTCAGGCCAAGCAGTGCTTCGTGGGAGGTTCGAGCAGTAGAAGCGGCGGCGGCCATGCAATGGAGCCCATGTTCCTCTTTGTGTCAAGGCTTAGGGTTTAGGGTTTAGGCTTTAGGGTGATCCTGCGCCTGAGGAACAGCCGAACAGGGAACACCTTCACCGTAGAAGCAACACCAAAAGCCTAAGCCAAAAAGACCCGAAACCCCAAATATGCCACGAAACCGGAAACCCTGAACCCCCAATCCGCGAACCCTGAACCCCCCGCAGTGAAGACACCCTTCCCAAAAACCCAAATAGGAGCCCTGTGCTTGAATCTCTCCTAAACCCAGCACCCCAAACGCCCTAAACCCCCACATAAAGCCCCCAAACCCGATACAAACCCTAAACCCCGTAAACCCTGAACCCCAGCCCCTAAGCCATAAGCAACCTAACCCCCAAACACCCTAAGCGCCACACTACGAGCCTCAACCCCAAACACCATAACAAAACCCCTAACCCCTAAACCCTAAACACTCAACCCTAAACCCTAGACCCTAAACCCTGAACCCTGAACCCTAAACCCCAATCTCAAACAAAGGAGCGCACTTCTCAACCAGTTGCCAGGTCGCGGAGCCGGGGCTCTCCACGCCTAAGGGATCGAGGCTGGGGGGGGTTTCGGGTTTAGGGTTTCGGGTTTCGGGCTGTTTTCTTGTTTATGGACTCTATGGGGTTCATGTGGTGTTGGGCTAAATGTCGGGCTACGGGCTGCTGCTTCGGAATCTGTAGGTTTTCGGGGTTTTAGATTGGGGTTTCTAGTTTGGGGCTTTGATCTAGGGCATTGGGGCTGAAGGGCTGCACCCCAAGACCCTAAGCCGGGTTGCGGGCTTTGGTTAGAGGGTTTGGGGGTTTCGGGGGGCACTTCATGGCTTGGGGCTTTCGGGGCTTTGGGCTGGGGGCCTAAGCCGTAAGACCTTAAAATCCAGACCCTGCAACGTGGCTTCTTTTAGCACTTTCTGTGGGAGATCACAGAAAAATGCATGGACCCTGAACCCTGAACCCTGAACCCTACATCCTATAGACAAAACTAGCCCTGGGAGTTTCCGGTTCTAGGTCTCCCCTGCCTTCATCTCCCCCCGTTTTCCCCTCCAAACTCAAGCCTGTGCTGGAGAACTTAGGTTTAGGGTTCAGGGGTTTAGGGCTTTGGGATTTAGGGTTTAAGCGTTCCTGGGAAGCCGGCGCAGCTCGCACTTGAGGCTCTGGTAGAGCCTCAGGGGTTTATAAAGACGAACGGCTTGAACAGGGCTTCAACTTGGGGGGGGCGCCCCAGGGGTGAAAGGGCTCTTTTTTCAAGGGTGCCATTGCGCCAGGTGCCAGAACCAAGAAGATCAGGCTTGAAAAGGGATTTAGCCCTAAACCCGAAAGAAGGGGGGGGGCGGGGGTTTCAATTGCGATTTATCGGCTTGCAGTTAGGAACTTAGTTTGGGTAGCACGATAGTAAATGGTGTGTATATATACATATATATATATATATATATTTTTTGTATATATACACTTGAAACCCTAAACCCTTAGTAAATTATGGTCGCTTTATTACCGCTCCTGACTGACCAAGCAGGGTCTGTCACTTTAGAGGTCCGAGCGGTTGAAGCTTGAGTGCTAAATTAGTGCATTGTGGCTGCGCTGCGCGAACTGTGCCCTAAACCCTAAGCCCCAAGCGCTAAGCCCTGAGCCCTAAGCCCTAAGCCCGAAGCCCTAAGCCCTAAGCCCGAAGCCCTAAACCCTAAACCCTGAACTGACTTAGATAATTTGGGCTCATTGGGTTTACAGTTTTTGCTGTGCTTGTTGGGGTACGGTAGTCCCAGGAATACTTGGGGCTGAGGGTTGAGTGCCAAAGCCTGAACCCTAGACCTTCAACCCCCAGACAAGCCCCATAGAAACCCCAAAAATCTCATAATTACTCCCCAAAGACCCCACATAAACCCCCCACATAAAACCCCATATCAACCGCATGGACGCGATAAACGCCAGAAATTCCCTACACCCAAGACCTCCGCGCCCACAAACCTAAACCCTAAACCCTAAACCCTAAATCCTGAACCCTAAACCCTAAATCCTAAAACTGCCAACAAGCAACTGCTGAAGCTTCTCGGTGGAGAGCCCCGCACCTCTGGGATGTCTTGGGGGCCCTTCATTCTGGGGTACCCTAAACCCTAAACCCTAAACCCTAAACCCTAAACCCTAAACCCTAAACCCTGGGGTTGCTTCTTGGGGTTTAGGGCTTAGGGCCGAGGGTTTCGGGCGTTTGGGGCAGCAGAGCTACGCTGCGCCTCAACATAAAAAGGAAGTCGAAAAGTGTGGGTTGACACGGGGTTTATCTGGGGTTTATAAGGGGTTTTGGGTTTAGGGTTCAGGGTTTATAGGGTATAGGGTTTAGGGTTTAGGGTTCAGGGTTTAGGGTTAAGGGGTTTAGGGTTTAGGGTTTAGGGTTTAGGGTTTAGGGTTTAGGGTTTAGGGTTTAGGGTTTAGGGTGGAGGGTTTAGGGTTTAGGGTTTAGGGTTTAGGGTTTAGGGTTTAGGGTTTAGGGTTTAGGGTTTAGGGTTTAGGGTTTAGGGTTTAGGGTTTAGGGTTTAGGGTTTAGGGTTTAGGGTTTAGGGTTTAGGGGGCTTATATAGGGTTTATACAGGGTTTGTAAGGGTTTAAACCCCGCAAAGACCAGCACAAAACCCAAAATGACAAGAATATTTGAAGCCCCAAAGCCCAAAACCCCAAACCCTAGTAGCGGTAGCCTTGTTGGGCAGGGTCTTCCGCCAGCAGCACCCGCCACTGCGAATGCGCAGCCTCGTGGAACTTCGAGTTTAGGGTTTAGGGGTTTAGGGTTTAGGGTTTCGGGTTTCGGGTTTAGGGTCACGTGTTGCTTCATGGGCTTTCAAGGAGCCGAACACCCTTCCCCAACAAAAGAAAAAGATAATATGAGTACTACTGGGGTGCTATGTAGCCCCCTCCCGCCAAACCCCAAACCCTGAACACCCAAATGGGTTTTGGCTTGAAGGGCTTAGGAGGCAGCAGGTTTTGGGAGCCCCTGGGGCTTCGCATATACGACACCTGTTTAGGAGCCAAACGGCCAGGGTTTTGTAGGGGTTTAGGGTCTAGGGTCCAGGGTTTAGGGGCTAGGGTTTAGGATTGATGGGGCTTAGGCATTAGAGAGTTTATGGTTGGGGGTTTTGCGGTGTAGGGGGTTCGGGCTTCGGGTCTACGGCGAATAGGATGTAGGGTTCCGGATGGACTCTGCGGGTTGAATATATCATAAGAAGCCAAGTGGGTGGAAGAGAGGGTGGAGGGCGTAAGGGCTCCATATTCCCTAGGTAAGCGCTTCAGAATCCCAATTAAGCCTTCATAACCACTACCGAGGGAATATGGGTCCCTAACACTCCCCTCCCTTCCACTCTCTGGGTTATTAATCCCTAAACCCTGAACCCAACCCTGAAGAATCCTGGGCTGACCCCTTGGTTCCTTGTGAATCTAGCGGTGCCTGAGGAGCTAAGGTTCGGGTGCCCAGGCCTCGATGTCCGACAGCATCGTCACCACCCGCAACCTCGCGAAACGTGGGAGGGGGGGGGTGGGGCCTCAACCCGAAACCCTAGACCCTAAAGCCTAAAGCCTAAATCCTAAAGCCTAAAGCCTAAAGCCTAAAGCCTAAAACCTAAAGCCTAAAGCCTAAAGCCTAAAGCCTAAAGCCTAAAGCCTAAAGCCTAAAGCCTAACCCCATCAACCCTCAACCCTCAAACCTCAACCCACGACCCTCAACCCTCAACCCTAAAACCGAAACCCTAAACCCTAAACCCTAACCCTAAGCCCTGCGGGCATTTTTGGACATAGGGTTTGGTTTTGTTGGTCATCGTACAATCCTTTGAGCTTAGGGCGCCACTTGAAACCCCAACCCTTGCACATCATGGGCTTCTGGAGACCGGAATAGAAGGGCAAAAAAGACCGCAAACCAAAAACCACTGAACCCTAAACCCTACACCCTAAACCTTAATGTATGGAACCCATCGCATGTGGGCCACCCACCTCCGCTGAAATAGCTCCATGGTGGTGATGGCCGCCTGACCGACAGCGGAAACCGGAACACGGAACTCTTAAACCTTGAGCCAAAATGGGAGTTTGTTTAGATTTAGGAATTATCTTAAGAAGTACCCCTATGGGATTTACCCAAATCTACCCTAGGCCCACAGGGCCTAAACTACGCCCTTAACGGACTGCCTCAGCCGCATACCCAAAGTCCTTCAAACCCTTCAAACCCCAAAAAAACCCTTAATCTCCAAGAGGTTTTGGAAGCGCGAAGGGCTTAGGGCTCAGGGTTTAGGGCTTGGGGCTTGGAGCTTAGAGCTGAGGGTTCGGTCTTACCTGGGTCTACCTGCTGTTGTATCGGCGAGACCTTCTTATTGTATTTGCTGCAAAGCTGTCTGTTAACTCACCTCTGAGTCTGCCCGAAATCAACAGAATTCCAGAGAGTTTGGGTGCCTTGTCTTCTGAGTCGAGCAAGGGGATAACCTGACGAGCTTGACGGGTTTGGGGTTTGAGGTTTGGGGTTTGGTCCAGGCCAGGTGGGGTGGTTCAAGAGACGCGTATTCCTGCTACCTTATACATACGACCCCGCAATGTACGTAATGTATGCAAATATACCTAAATACATATATACATACATGTATACATAGAATTCAGTTGTCCAAAATAGGCCCTGTGGACTTGGACTGAGTACCCAAAAAATGCTGGAGGTTAGGGTTTAGGGCTTAGGGCTTAGGGCATAAGGTTTAGGGTTTAGGTTGCCTTAGGTTTTATAGGGTTAAGGGCTTCTGCAGCGGGTGCCCGCCTCGTAGAAAGAGCGGCTCCTTGGCCAAGGCTTACGGGAGCTCAAGAGGGCCCCTCCCTGAAGTGATTAGGGTTTAGGGTTTAGGGTTTAGGGTTTAGGGTTTAAGGTTTAGGGTTTAGAGGGCGAAAAAGTGACCCTAAACCCGAAGCCCTATGCCCCAAATCCTAAACCCGAAACCCTAAGCCCAAAGTTCTAGACCCTAAAGCCCTAAACCCCAAGACCGTGTCTAAACCCTACACCTGCGGGCACATGGCCCTTCTGCTTGTAGGTTCTGAGGGAAATTGAATACTTGAATATAACACCCTTCTGAAAGTATGTTGGGCTCCCAGCCCGAGTTACAGCCCTCAACCTTTCACCCTAAACCCCCAAAACTCCGCAAGCCCGAAACTCAACCCAAAAGCAACCTGGGAATACAAAGGGTGCCTTTTTGGGCTATAAAGGGGCTTACACGGGAACCGAAACCCCAAGAAAGGGAATCAGGACCTTCTCTGGGTACTGATGCTCTCCTCCACTCCCTTTTGAGCTCCAGTACCAGCAAGCTTGCACTTAGTGGGATCTTCAGGGCTTTGCGGAGTTCGTTTTGTCCCTAGGACTGCAAGACCGGCTTCACATGGAAGATTATTCCAACAAGAGGGTTTACGCGGGCTAGGGTTCATTGTTGACGGCTTAAGTTTAGGGTTAGGGCTTAGGGTTTAGGGTTTAGGGTCTAGGGTTTAGGGCTCAGGGTTAAGGGTTTAGGGTTTAGGTTTAGGGGTGTCCTGTCCAAAGGGGGATTCTCGTACATGTGGGAATATAGACTAGGTTGGCCATTGGGACATGCTGTACTTGCCCTTATTGGGTTTAAGAGGATCAGATGTTTTAGGGTTTAAGGTTCAGGGTTTATGGTTTAGGGCTCAGGGTTTAGGAATGTCTTTCAAAGGGTTGAAAAAGGCTTCCTTTTACTCCTAACACGGCCGTTATACACCCTCAGTGTACTTTTAAACAGGGCCCCCAAACCCAAGGGTGCAACCTTAGGGTCCCATGAGTCTTGGCAAAGTTTAGAAGGGAAGCAAAGCCCTATAACAGGGAATACGGGTGGTGCCATACCCTGGCGTCCCAAACCCTAAACCCTAAACCCTAAACCCTAAACCCCAAACCCTAAACGACCAAAAAGGGAATAAATGGGAGAGTCCACCCATCGCTGCAAAAACATCTTGTAGTGTCCAGGTCCGTCTGGCCCCTTCATCGTCACCAAAACTTCGATGCGTGTTGCCGCGCATTGCTTCTCCGCGGGATTTCATGGCCTTCAGTGTGTCCAACCTGCCATTGCTTGCTCCGAAGGGCCAGAAAATATGTTCTGGACGGCAGACTCGTGATCCAGTCTTCCCACGGCTGAGGCCAAGAGTGGATTCCGCAGAAGTTTCTGGCAGTCACACCCCCTGAATATAGGGGTCGGAATACTTACTCCCAGTATTCCCTTTTAATATTGATACTATAACAACCCCCCAACACCCTGCTCCAGTTATTCAGGCCCCTATACTAAACCCTAGGGCCAGTCGTTCGGGGTGTTGATTGCAGGCTCCTAGTCCTTAAGCCATGAAGCCCCTAAACCCTAAAACCCAAAACCCAAAACCCTAAACCCTAAACCCTAAACCATAAACCCCGAAGAAGCCGCACAAGGGCATCAGGTCTCAGGCAGCGCTTCCAGTACCTCCGGCTTCGGCGACTTCCTGAAGTGTGGCTTTTAGGGCTTAGGGCTTCGGGCTCAGGGCTTAGGGCTTCGGGCTTAGGGCTCAGGGCTTAGGGCTTAGGGCTTAGGGCTTAGGGCTCAGGGCTTAGGGCTTAGGGCTTCGGGCTCAGGGCTCAGGGCTTCGGGCTTCGGGCTCAGGGCTTAGGGCTCAGGGCTTAGGGCTCAGGGCTTAGGGCTCAGGGCTTAGGGCTCAGGGCTTAGGGCTTAGGGCTCAGGGCTTAGGGCTCAGGGCTTAGGGCTTAGGGCTTAGGGCTTAGGGCTTAGGGCTTAGGGCTTAGGGCTTAGGGAACATGACGTTGCAAATCCAGTCGGGGGGCTGCGTGTTGTGGACTTGGAGTTTAGGGTTTGGATCACAGTCCAAACCAGCGCGGAGAAGAACCAGTTCCCAACCCGTTTATTATGTTTTCCTTGTTTTTCTTTTTGGGGGGGGGGGAAGGGGGTTGGGCTGTGGGTTCAGGGTTTGGGGTTTAGGGTTTGGGGTTTAGTAGAGTTCCGGGTTTGGCAGATTAAAGGCTTCCCAACAGACAAGTGGTGCTGAGATCCGGACTTGCCCATTTCGCCCTCAATCGCTTTCAGCCTTGTGACCGACCATCCCATCAGTTCGCTGAGTTAAGGGACTCCGAAGGCGGAGTATACGAAGTTCTGTAAGGGATAGTTAGTATTCCCTTATGGCCCCTTTGTAAATATACTTTTATGGTTTGGGTTTACGGTTACTAGGATCCCCCGAAAAAGACACCCAGTATGACCCCGCATATTCACTCACCGATACATACCGATACCCTTGCACCTGATACGGGTGTCCCTCATAACTTGCATGCACTGACTCAAAGATGATCCTTACAGAGGTCCCTTGCAAGTTAAAGACTACAGCCCGCCCAGACGCCAGTTTGGGTTTAGGGTTAAGGGTTAGGTTTAAGGTTAAGGTTTAGGGGTTTACGGGTTAAGGCTGAGGGCCTGCAGATATCACAACTCAGCTTCTGAGGCAACTCTAAACCCCGAACCCCCAAGCAGCTCAGCTTTCAAAGCTGGGGGCCATCGGAAAACTACAGCGTGCTTGTCAGCTCTCCCAGGAGTGGGGGGTTTGGGGTTGAGTTTAGTGTTTGGGGCTTAGGGGCCAGGACTTCGAGTTAGGGGTTTAGGGTTCGCGCTTTAGGTTTTGGGGTTTGATTTCTGCAAAAATCAGATTTGTGCCAAAAAGTGTCGGGCCTAGCGCCGGCAACTCTGAATACCACCTTTCCGCCCTAACACTTGCGACAGAAGATGACCCTAAGCCCTGAAACCTATAGGCCCTAGACCCAAAACAAAAAACAGCAACCCGAAGCCCCACCGACCCTAGAACCCTTCGGGATCAGGGTTCAGGGTTTAAGGTTTCAGGGTTTTGGGTTTTAGGGTTTAGGGTTTTAGGGTTTCAGGGCTTAGGATTTAGGATTTAGGGTTTAGGGTTTAAGGTTTCGGGTCCTAAAAGGCCCTCCCCAAAACAAAACAAAAAGAAAATCCCAAACACCAAAGCCCGTGGCCAGGTGAAGCCTTCCCTCACCATGTCTTTGCTAACCTGAGGACTCAGGGTGCAGGGTGCAGGGTTTAGGGTCTAGGGTTTAGGGTTTAGGGTTGAGGGTTAGGGTTTCGGGTCTAGGGTCTAGGACTAACTTGCTGGGAAGGGTTTAGGGTTGGGGCTTCCGGCTTTTCGTCTGAGAGGTTCCTGGTTCGTACAGGTCGGCGGGGGTTGAAGCTCAGAGATTTGGGGCTAAGGGGCGGGAAAGTGGTTTTTGAGAGTTCAGGATTCCAGGGCTTAGGACCTAAGATTTAGGCTTTGGGCTTTAGGCTTTAGGCTTTAGGCTTTAGGCTTTAGGCTTTAGGCTTTAGGCTTTAGGCTTTAGGCTTTAGGCTTTAGGCTTTAGGCTTTAGGCTGGAAGCTTTAGGCTTTAGGGTTTGGGCTTAGGGTTTGGGCTTTGCAATTCCTTCAGGACTCCGGATTTGGAGGCCTAAACTCCCGAAAAAACCATCCCAAGCCATCCTAAGCCCTAAGGCCTAAACCCTAAACCCTAAACCCCAAAACAAACCATCCTTCACCATCCTAAACCTATCCCTAAGCCCCCCTAAACTCCGATCTCTTCTCAACCCCTTGACTGAGGACTCTTCCCTACATCAGTCAGAATAGACACTTCAACTTAAGGGGGCTTTGGAGCGCCCCTAAACCGCAAACCCCAACCAGAATCCGCTCCAAGACCTGACTTTTTCCTGGGGCGCAGCCACTGGCACTGTGCTAGGCTCAGCTCGAGATCTGCTGGAAGCTTCGAGCTTACCTGTCATTCAGTTCAGGGTTTCGAGTTTAGGGTCAGGGTCTGGGGTTTAGGGTCTAGGGTTTGCTGTAACAGGGCGTAGATGCTGTGAAGGTTAGGCTTTGGAACAAGCTCGAAAGCTTCCTGAGGTGCGAAGAGCAGCTCTGGCCCGATTGCGGAGGGCCATCTAACACCTTTCTCCCACCCCATGCGCCGTCCGAGGCGGCAAAACCACCCAAACCTGTTCCTTTTAGGGTTCAGGCCGAAACTCAAGTCAATTGCTTTAAGCCTCTTTATTCCGTCACGGTGGTCAATCTAGTTAGGGGAGCAGAAGGGGTGCCCAGGGGGGGCACAGGCGGGCCCAAGGCCTCCACCTCTGCGGCGAGGGGTCCGGGACCCCCTGGCCGAGGGCCCTCCCCAAAAATTCTGGGTAGGTATTTTATTAATACTGGCCCGAGAAGAACGGGCTCCGGCACCGGGCCCCACGTCATTGCTACCGACCCCCGAGCTGTGAGAGGCGGGCGAACGGCTTGCGCCATGGAGGTCCAAAGGCTTGCGCGCCGCCCCCCCACTGTGAGCCTTGAGCTTAGGGTTAAGGTTTAGGGTTCAGGGTTTCGGCGCCTCTTGCCGCTGGCCCAAGGCATCCAAGAAGGCGAGGCCACATCGGTGCAGCCAGTTGCGCGCACAGAGGCGTGCCTCGACCCCGAGGTTAGGGTTTAGGGTGTAGGTTTAGGGTTTAGGGTTTAGGGTTTAGGGTTTAGGGTTACTGTATTTAGGGCTTGGGCTCTGCAGCTTACCGGCTAAAGGGTTCAGGGTGTAGGGTTGTATGGGGTGATGGTGCCTGATATGATTTTCGAAGATAAGGTTGAGGATTGCATGCCGGAGCAAGCCCTACATCGTAAAAGCCCCCTACCCTCAACCCTAATACCCTAAACTCGAGAAGCCAATGCCCAACACCAAACCCTAAACCCAAAACCCTAAACCCTAAACCCCCAATCCTAAACCCTAAACCTAAACTCTAAACCGGAAGTCCTAAACCGTGGTCTCTGCTGGCGAAGGGTCATCGGACAAGTAGGTGGCCATGCTGGTGTAGAGCCTGTCGCGTACCTTGGGTGGCTGGCCTATGTTAGGTTTAGGTCGTAGGGTTAACGGTTTAGGGCTTAGGGCTGAGGGTTTAGGGTTTGGGGCTTAGGTTGCTTCGCTTAGGATTTAGAGTTGGCTTGGGAGGTTTACGGCCACAAAGCGTTCAAAAGCTTTCTGAACCTGGACTTTGACTGCTTCCGTGACAAGTCAGCGCAAGCCCTGCACCCGATCCAAACTAAAAGCCAGAAACCATACCTCTCCCCACCCGCAACAGGTCAAGCGGTCGACAAGTTTGGGATTACAGATAAATGGGGGTTTCCGACAATAATAGGGGTATGCATTTGGGGTTCCTATATCGAGGAGCATACCAACCCTAAAACCCCTAAAACCCCTAAACCCCAAAACCCCAAGACCCTAAAAGCCTAAAGTCCAGAGAAGTCTAGAACCCTACACCCCTACTTTCAAGTACGCCCAAATGCAGCCGAATTGCTGGCGGATGGCCAAGATGTGCCAAGTGGCTGCGGATCTGGTGCCTGGTCGGCTGCCGGCTTCCCGCGATTCCATGGTTTTGGGTTTAGGGTCTAGGGTTTAGGGTTTAGGGGTTTACGGATTAAGGTTTCACCCAAAAAAACCCAAAACTCTAAAAGCCTCGAAAGCCCTAAAAACGTTAAAGCCTCAAAGCCTTGAACTCAAACGCTCAGCCTCAAGGCCTTAAAGTCTGAATCGAAGCCCCAAAGCGTCAAACGAGATGAACAAAAGTCTCAAGCCTCAAGCCGAAGATTGCGATTCGGGCTTAGGGCTTTGGATTTGAGATTTAGGGTTTAAGGGCTTAGGATTCAGGTGCCCTTTATTTGTTCAATTGGGTTTATAGTTGCATCCAACCCAACAATACCGGGAATGAGGGCCCACTCTGGGTCCTAGTTGGGTACCGAGTTGCAACTTTTGTAAAACCTTACCCTTGAAATTGCGCAACAATGGTGTCTTCAGATCTTCATTAGGAGAAGGCCAAACCCAATAACAAAGCAAGCTTGAACATTTAGAATCAACGTTAAAGCATCTTTAAATCAAAGCAGAAACTATACCTAGTTGCAATGATGAAACAAACTAACTAACTAACTAACTAACTAACTAACTAACTAACTAACTAACTAACTAACTAACTAACAAAACAAACAAAACAAACGAACAACCAAACAAACAACCAAACAAACAACCAAACAGACAAGCAAACAAACCAACAACTGCTAAACGCGTACTTTCTTGACTTAAGATTCAGCAATGAACAACGACTAACTGAAAACCACAGCAAAGAGATGATTAACAGCTTTGAAGACATAAGCCAGTTCAATACATTGCCTTGCGTAACTTGGGGGGTGTAAGGTGTGCAAAGTTTGGAGGGCAAGAAGATCCAACGAAGACGGGGGAAAGAACGAAAGTTCGGCGACCGCTCGACTAAACCCTACACAATCCTAAACCCTAAGCCCTAAACCCCTGCCTCCGGCCAGTATGGATGCGAATCTGAACATGGCTGAGGATGCCAACCTTCCGGAGCAAGCTGAGCCCTCAACTCGAACCCCCAAAAAAGCTTGGGGTTTAGGGTTGGGTCTGGGGTTCATTAGGGTTTAGGGTTTAAGATTTAGGGTTTACGGGAACGGGAATCCTAAACCCTGAGCCCCAAGCTGTGGAGGTAACTTGCGGCCGATATCAGGCAAGCAAAGACCAGTCATATTGGCCCTAACCAGTGCCTAAACATCAAACCCTAAACCGTAGATCCTAAACCCTGAACCCTAAACCCTAAATCCTTAGTGTTGAGGGTTGAGAGGAAAGATGACAGCCGACATCCCATAGTGTGCCAAGCTCCTCAGGGACCCTAAGCCCTAATCCCTAAACCCTGAGCCCTAAACCCCAAACCTCATAAACCCTAAGCCCCAAGCCCCAAGCCCTAAACCCTAAACCTTAAACCCTAAACCCTAAACCCTAAACCCTAAACCCTAAACCCTAAACCCAAAACCCAAAACCCTAAACCTAAACCCTAAACCTCAAACCCTAAACGCCAAAGCCCAAGAGCCCGTAAACCCGAAAAGCTACTGTAAAACCCAGAGCGCGAACCTGCTAAACCCTAAAATAAGCAAGGCTTGGGGTTTAGGGTTTAGGGCTTAGGGTTTAGGACCCCCTTGTTTTGTTGTGATCTAGGGAGCAGCTAAGTGGTTTTGGAGGCTTAGGCATAGGTGAAAGCCCAAGCTACCTAGAACTCCGAACCGCTTCCCACCATGGGGGTCGAATGGTCCACTGAAGTGCAAGGCATCTTCCTGCTTCGAAGAGATGGTCTCCGCTGGCTAAACCCTTTCTCTTGAAGCTTTTCTGCTTGGGGTCTCATAGGACGAGGGCATAAGAATGTGCATGAGTTACCGCTCTCCTTGGCCTTCTTCTCCGGCAAGGGCCGGCGACCAAGCGGGCCCGGAAGACCGCCGCGGCGGCCATGGCTCGTTCAAACACGAAGTACCTGTACCCTCTATGTCCAGGCCCTTTCTGGAAACGATGACCAAGTTCCATAAACCCTAACCCTAAACCCTAGACCCTAAACCCTTGACATGTTTAAGTGGACCTGGAAGTACATTTCCCTGAAAGCCCCGAATGTGCCAGCCTAAACCTCTGTATACAAAAAGCCGTGCAGGTGCGAGGTTTGCACTCAATCTTGGGATTCTACCTTGGACCCTTAAGGCTGTGCCCTTGGGTGTTGGGGACCCCTGATAAAGATCCTTAATGTAGTATAAATGCCGTATTAGGAGTATGTGAAGGGGAACGTTTAGGGGTACAACCTTAGGGGCACGAGTCTTCATCCCTGGATCTAAAATCATTTCGGGCCCTAAGCCCTAAACCTTAAATCCTAAACCCTAAACCCTAAACCCCCAAAAAACCGAAACCCCAAAAAAGCCGAAACCCTCACAGCCTCATGGAAGCCATGGGTGACTGGCTCGACCATCGACACGGCAAGCTTCCCGCGACCCCCGCTGAGCGTGGGCCCTCCGGAGGGCGTTTTCCAGGATTTTTGAGGTCGTTTAGGGTTAGGGTTTAGGATCTAGGGTTTAGGGTTTAGGGTTTAGGGTTTGGGGTTTAGGGTTTAGGGTTTAGGGTTTAGGTATTTTGGTTTACGGTTTAGGGTTTAGGGTTTCAAAGGTTCGTAACAGTAGCAGTACTGGCAATGGAATTAGAGCTCTCGCGCTTGCACTAGAACCCTTGCAGATACGGTTTGGGGTTTAGGGTTCGGCTTTAGAAAATTCAAGTGCGGCCAGAAACCATACACCTGGGGCAAGACAAACACTTAGCCCCCTTGACGTTAGTGGATGGGGGTTTGTGGACCTTGGTTATTCCTGGAGCGCACCTACTAGACTCCGAGCTATGGTGACCCACCAACTGACCCATCTACGCTCTTGCAACATTTACCCTCAGCCCAAAAACCCTAAACCCAACTGACTGCAAAGACAGGGTTCGGGGCTGAGGGCCCTGAAAGCCAGGCAAAAGGGCCCTGAACCAACTCTACAACCTAAACCCTAAACCATGACGGAGTTTGGGGAGGGCCTGGCACCGCCAGCACAGCCTGGAAGGAACACAACCTTTGCACTATCTTCGAGACTGTCAGTTGTATGGTTGACTCTGTACATATGTGTATATATATATATATATATATACATATAAGCTTGCACACAGATACATATATATGTACATACATACATACATACATACATACATACATACATACATACATACATACATACATACATACATACATACATACATACATACATACATACATACATACATACATACATACATACATACATACATATATATATATATATGTATATCACCCTTAAAAAAACCCCAGCCCTAAAACCCTAATGGCTTTTGGATGGTCCGGGGTTCCTCGGGGTTTTGGGACTTCCCCTGCCTTCGCCCAGGAACCGAACGCGAGCTCTCACTGAGCGCTGCCGAGGCATAAATCCTCGGTAGGCGGAGGTTTCGAGCTGAGGGCGCCACATCCTCGTGACTGTTCCATCCGCTCTCTCGCTGGTATATAACTTGAACTACGAACTAAGGACCCACAACGCCCGTTAGGGGCTTTGGGATTAGGAGTTCGGGCTTCAGTCTCTGGCTTGAAGAACACGGTGCTGATGGGTCTCTTACCAGCTTTCACGTGTCGCACGTGCCGAAGCCGAGACAAGAAATCAAAATGAAGGCTCGGTTCTTCAGGGGCCAAACTTTACATGCTTTTTGCCACATGTTGAATCAAAAGGGCTCGCCATGTGAGGTAAGCTGCGTGTACATACGGTTCTTTCCGCACAATGGCGAGTGTCGAGTGTTAAACTCATTTGTTTGTTTAGGGTGCTTTTGGAGATACCAGCAACAAAAAACCTCATGCCAAGAGTCCGTGGCACAGCACATCATAGTCACGCTCCAGTTGCCCAGCCTCGGCCAACGATGCCGTTCGCCCAGCATAGGGGGTTTTGGGTTGAGATTCAGGGTTTGGGGAAGCCCCTAAACGCCTAAAGCGTAAGGGTTTGAGGTTCAAGGTCCAGGGCTTAGGGCCTGGGGTTTTCGTTTTAAAGTTTGGGGTTTGGGGCTCATAGGGGGCTCAAAGTCGGGGTGAAACCAGCAGAAGCAACAAGTAGCCTAAAGATACTATGACGAGCCAAAAGAAGACAAGAGAAACCACCAGCAACCCCAAAAAGCTAGCGCAAGAAGACGCAAGCCAACACAAGCCAACACAATCTAATTTAAGCCAAGACATGCCACACGAAGCCAAAAGAAGCCAATCCAAAATAAGCAACACAACAATGCCAAGGCAAACCATGCATAAACATATCGGAGCGACAGTATGGGGTTAGACATACATCACGTCGCACGTAGTGTTGAGCTATTGTTATGTTGCCGGGCATGTTGCGCGTATTCCGGCATGGCGCTGTAGCTTTCCACAAGGGAGCTGAAGTGCGGTTCAGGGTTTGGAGAAGCAACTACCATATCATCTCGAAGCAGCCAGGTTGCATGCAGCTGCACTTGCAGATCGTAGAAGGCCTGCGAAATCGCACACTTCCTAGCGACCACGACACCCACCCTAAACCCAGAACACGAATAGCCCCTACAACACATATCTGAAGGTCCTACCTAGCTTGCACCCCTCAACCCTAAACCCGCAACCGTAAACCCTCTCACCCGCAACCTAATGCCTAAACCTGTACCTGAACCCCAGGATCCATCTGCGCGCCGCACTTTCCATCAGGGCTTTTGTTTCTTCTTACGGTTTTCGGGTGTAGGGTTTCAGGGGGTTCAGGGTTTAGGGCTTAGGGGGGGTTTAGGTTTAGGGCTTCGAGTTGAGGGGTTTTGGGCCTGCAAGGATTCAGGGTGTTTACGTTGGGGTCTACGGTAGTTTAGGTGTTGTGCTGTGCAAGGCGCCCAGAACTCCCCAAACCTTCCTAGAATTAAACCTACATAGGCTCGAAAAGCCCTCAAAGCCCCAGCTTATAAACCCTTCAACCCGCAAAATCCGAAGCTTAACCCCTCTTAAGCCCCTATGAGACTTCACTTCAAACCCCAAACACCGCAAACCTTACAAGGCCTCTAAACGATGCAGGCCGCCCAACTCCCCAAAACCAAAAGTCCTAAACCCATCAACAGACTTCACCCTGAACCCTAAACCCTGAGTAGTCCAGACGTGCAAAATCCTTGCCAAACCTGTAGGGCGGCCTTGGTCTTAAACCCTAAAATGCACGAGTTCGTTGCCCTTAACCCTAAAGGGTTTAGGGCCCAGGGCTTTGAGGTTTAGGGGTTTAGGGCTGTTAGTTTTGGGGCTTAGGGCTTAGAGCTTTGAGGCCAAACCCTCAACCATAAATCCAACACCCTAAACCCTAAACCCTAAACCCTTAACCCTGAACCCTAAACCAACCTCCCCCTCACCCTACGGAGCCTCATAGCTCTGCGCCGCCAGGATCAGCCCGGAGCTCGGGATGTCGAGACGGTGCCTTGTGTTTGAGGGTTTAGAGGGCTTGGGGCCTAAGAGGCCCAAGCGTCTGAAACCCTTTGCAGCTTCAAGACACCGCAGGCCCCCATGTCCGAAGCCCTAAATTGCTAAACCTTCTTCCCGAAGATGTAAAAACTTCCAGATGTTCTTTGACCTGTTCAAAAAGCACCATCCCAGACATTCGTTCGTTTCTTGGAAAACCCCCGCCCTCCCCTCCCCCCATGCCCCCATAAAGAATTTTAAGAAGAACTCCTTGAAGACCTACAGTAGGCCCTGAGGTTCCCTTTAAACCCAAAACGCCACATCATGGAACCCTGCCGAACCCGACTCAGGCCCAACAAAAAGCAAACTGAATCCTGAAATTCCCGAACGAGCACCGTGAACCCCAAGCCCTAAACCCTAAACCCCATTAAAGCCTAATGAAACCCTGTAAACCCCGACCCCGACCCGCAAACATGAAGCTTTCAAACCCAAATGAAGCCTTACAAACCCCTAGCAGAATCTGATAAACCCTAAAACCCTAAAGCCCTAAAACTGAAACCCTAAAACCCTAAAACCCCAAAACCCCAAAGCCCCAAAACCCCAAAGCCCCAAAGCCCAAAACCCCAAGCCCCCCCAAAAGCCCCCCCAAAACCCCAAAGCCCCAAAGCCCCAAAGCCCCAAAGCCCCAAACCCCAAAGCCCCAAAGCCCCAAAGCCCCAAAACCCTGAAACCCCAAAACCCCAAAACCCCAAAACCCCAAAACCCCAAAACCCCAAAACCCCAAATCCCCAAAACCCCAAAACCCCAAAACCCCAAAACCCCAAAACCCCAAAACCCCAAAAACCCCAAAACCCCAAAACCTCAAAACCCCAAAACCCCAAAACCCCTAAACCCCTAAAACCCAAAACCCCAAAAGCCCTGACAACCTAACTCTTTCAGCTCCGGGTGCAGGAAGCCGAAGTTGTGAACCCGATCCTCGAAGATCGGGCGGGGTCCGAAACCTGGCTCTCACTCGGATGAGGGGTTTAGGGTTTAGGATTAGGGTTTAGGGTTTGGGGTTTTGCTTGTAGAGTTTAGGGTTTAGGGTTTCGGGTTTATGGGGTCTAGGGTTTAGGGGGGTTAGGGTTTGGGGGGGGTTCAGGGGTCAGGGCTTAGGGCTTAGGACTCTCGAAACCCTCAGGACGAGACGGGCGTCTTGAGATTCGTAAGTCTTTGGGTAGTTGTGTTGACGGGGCCGAAAACCATGGAGAATCTTCTAGTTCTCTTCTTTTTTTGCGATTTAGAGGTTAAAGACTGAGGTTTAGTGCTTCCATGTCTGGAGCTTAGGTAAGGAGGGCTCAGGGATTAGGGTTTCGGGATTTATGCCAAAACCCCTCAAACCCCGACCGAAACCGATCCAGCAGCCATTAACCCTACACCCTGAATCCTAAACCCTAAACCAGGACGAAGATGCAAATTCTACTCTTCCGGTTGAGTCTGAGGAGGAAGCTTGTCGAATTTGGACTTATAGGAATTCCGGCTTTGGGCTTCCTAAACCCTTTGCCCCCGAATCCTAAACCCTAAACCCTAAACCCGAAACCCGAAACCCTAAACCCTAAACCCTAAACCCTGAACCCTGAACCCTAAACCCTGAACCCTTCATTGTGCCCTTTGAGCCCCTTCGAGTCCAGTTGCTCACTTTGCCGTAGTCCAGGAGCTGCGGCTCCACGTGACCCCCATAGACCTGCGCAGGTGGACTCAGGGTTCAGGCTTCAGGGTTCAGGGTTCAGGGTTCAGGGTTGAGGGTTTAGGGTTTAGGGTTTAGGGTTAATGGTTTTGGGTTTAGGCGCTTAGAGCTTTGGACTTGGAGGGCTGTCATAAAGATTCAGGCTTGGATGTTCAGGCGTCGCAGGGCCAGTGTTGCTTGCTAGAGTCTGCTTCAGGCTTGGGCTTTAACGATCAAACCCCCAAAGCCCTAAAACACCCTATACAAACACAAACCCTAAAACCCTAGCACCCTAAGCCTTTAACCCCAAAACCCAAAACGCTACAGCCATAAAGCCCTCTAAGGAGCCCACGCACGGTCTGGGCTTCCGGCTTTAGGGCTTTAAGGTTTAGGGTTTAGGGCTTTAAGGGGTTTAAGGTTTAGGGCTGTTTAGGGGTTTGAGGTGTCGGGTTTAGGGCCTTAAGGCTGCCTTTGTTCCAAGCTTGGAACCCTGAGCACTAAACCCCAACTCCCAAACCCTAACCCCGAGACTATCTTTGGGTAGGTTGGCTGTTCATAGAGCCCTTTCTCGCTGTCTTAGGTCACCTGCCGTTAAATAGGCTTTGGGCTCGGGGTTAGGGTTTACCCTTAACCCGAAACCCCGAAACCCTGAAACCCTAAACCCTAACCCTAAACCCCTCGGGCTCTACTCCCGAAGGCTGGGCGGCTTGGAGGCCTCCCAACCAGGCGGCTTGAACAGCACCGGGCGGTCCTTGCTTGTGGGAGGAACTTTGGGGGGGGCTTTAGGGGGGTTTAGGGTTTAGGGTTTCGGGTTTGGGGTTTAGGGTTTAGGGTGGGTTTAGGGTTTAGGGTTTAGGGTGTAGGGTTGAGGGTTGAGGGTTGAGGGTTGAGGGTTGAGGGTTGAGGGTTGAGGGTTGAGGGTTGAGGGTTGAGGGGTTGAGGGTTGAGGGTTTTGCGTTTTGGGTTTTGAGTTTAGGGCTTAGGCCCCCTTATACTATAAAAGTCTTCAGTGGGGATTATAATAGGGAGTACTGTACTCCCCCCATTCGGGACTGCTAGTAGCAGGGGGAACATCCCGAGGTTGAGGGATTTCGTAGGGTCGAGAGAAGAGAATGTATTTAGGGTTTCGGGACTTAGGGGGTTTGGGGCTTTGGGCTGAGGATTTCAAGGGCACGTCGGACTTAGGAGGAAACCCTGGGCTTTTTGGGGCTCGAACACCCGCTTAAGGTTTGTGGTTTAAGGTTTATAGGTTTTGCCCCAGAACCCCATGATGCCAAACCATGAAAAACAAAAGCAATATAGGCCCTTTCTGCGAATTGGCGTGTTAGGTTAGGTGGAGAGGGGGGGGGGCAGGGTGCGGTAGCTAGCAGTAGAATATCAGTAGATTCGCAGATTCATTTCAAGGATAGGGTCTAGGGTGCTGGATTTTGGGGCTTTGTGGCTTCAGGTTTGGGGGTTGGGTGGGTGTGTAGGCTTCGGGGAGGTAGGACTTGGGGTTTTAGGGTTTGAGTGTTTGTGGTTTTGGGGCACAGGTTTAGGGATTTCGGCGTGGGATGCAGGGTCGGGTTTACAGGCTTCGGGGCTTCGCGCTGAGCATCCGGAGATGCCAGCGCCGTGTACGGCAAGGCTTCGCCAGCTGCAAAGCCCCCACCCGCCTGGGCACGGCATTTCAGCTCAGTCCCCGTAGTGCAAACCACAAGCGTAACTTAGAGCACGCGCAATTCTGCATGCAAGCCCCAAAACCCGAAATAACCTTGTATGCTACCAACTGTAAATCCCGAACTCTATCCCCGAAATCCAAGAATCCTATTCGCTGTAAACTCTAAACCCCCCCAGACCAACATGAGAAGTCATGCATCTTCAGGGATTAGGGTTTAGGCTTGAGGGCCTAGGGAAACCCCATACCCTAAATCCCAAAACTCCCAAAGCAACAAACCCTAAGTCCACGAAACTCCTCAACCCTGACTCCTACACCCCAGCCCCAAGCCTTGGAAGAATGCGAAACCCCTGAAGCCTGAACCCTGAGCCTTCAACCCGAAACCTTGAACCCCACGTCCCCTAGACTCCTCAAACCTCAAACCCTCAAACCCTGAAACCTCCCAAGCCCAAACCATAAACCCCAAAAACCCTAAACCCTAAACCCTAGACACTAAACCCTAAGACCTAAACCCTAAACCCTAAACCCTCAACCCTGCGCAGCCGCGCCTGCTTGGCGGCTGCTGTTGGGCGTCGCCGGTCCAAGACGCGGCCAAGCTGTGCGAACAGGCCATAGACCGCCTTCCTGGTTGGTTTAGGGTTTTGGGTTTCGGGTTTGGGGTTTGGGGGTTTTGGGGGTTGTAGAGGCTTTAGGGGCTTTTAGGGGTTTCAGGGGCTTTCAGGGGCTTTTAGGGGCTTCAGGGGTTTTAGGAGTTTTAGGGGTTTTAGGGGTTTTAGGGGTTTTAGGGGTTTTAGGGGTTTTAGGGGTTTTAGGGGTTTTAGGGGTTTTAGGGGTTTTAGGGCTGCAGGCTTTGCCGCTTTAGGGCTTTAGGGTCTTTGGTCTTAGGACTGACGGTTTCAGCGTTTGAGGCTTTAGGGTCTTAGCAGGAATGACGATCTCCGTTTGCTGGCGTAGCTGACCCGAAGCCCAAAGCCGTATTCCCTGTGAACCCCAAAACTCTGAACCCCAAACCCAGACCCTAGACCCTCCAAAGGGCGTAGTGGCGCTTGCAGGGCCTCCAGTGCGCGAAAGCTCGCATGTAAAGATCTCCCTAAGCTGCAGGAACAGCACTCAGTGCCCTAAATCTCTCGACTTCTAGAAGTTTGATTAGAGCCTTTGTGAGGTCTTGAGTTTCCTGGCGCGCTTCTAATTAGGATTTATGCAGGGGTTTAGGGCTTATAGAACTTCAGTCTTATATGGTCTAGGGCTTATCAGACTTAGGGCATATAGGCGATCAGAGGCCCGGAAGCACACCGAGGCCCAGAACTCCATCAACTGCAGGCGCCTCGCTTGACCCCCCTAAAGCTAAACCTGAAACTCTGAACCCTAAGCTTGGAATGTTCGCCCCTATAGTAACAGTCCTTAATAGGCATTCTAGTACCCCCCCCCCCCTATTACAATCCCTATTAAGGACTGTCGGTATCAGGGGAACATCCCAACCCCAAGCCCTGAACCCTGCAGCCCTTGAAAAGTGTTCGCGAGGCCGGGCTTCAGGAAGCGCTGCTTCAAACAGCCCGTGATCTGGCATGCGAAGACCTTTGCGGCTGTAGGGTTTTAGAGCTCACGGAGTTTAGGGCAACCCTAAACCCTAGGGTTGAGGCTCCACTTTGGGTTTGGGTTTAGGGTTGGGTTGGGGCTGCGCCAGAGGACCCCAAACCCCGAACCATAAACCCCTAAACCCTCCTAAACCCTAAACCCTAAACCCTAAACCCTAAACCCTAAACCCTAAACCCTAAACCCTAAACCCTAAACCCTAAACCTTACTGCTTGCCCAAAGGCCACAGCCAGCACATCGCGACCCTGCCGGCGCAAGGTGAAGCGGGCCAGGCCCTTCACGTCCTGTGCTGGCTTCCGAAGGCTTAGGGTTTTAGGGTTTCGGATGGGTTTCGGGTTTAGGGTTTAAGGTTCAGGGTCTAGGGTTTAGGGTTTAGGGTTTAGGGTTTAGGGTTTGGGGTTTGGGGTTTAGGGTTTAGAGCTTAGGCATTTCAAGGGCCCATGTACCTACAAAGCACTTGGGGCTTCAATGGGGGCCTCCTGTCTAGTTTAGGGCCCGAAGCTACGTTTGCTTAAGAGCCCAAGCATGAAAAACAATAACAAATAGTAGTAAGAATATACGATTTAACACATGGACCCGGAGCGCGTTAGGATCTCGAGCTTTGGCTTGCCTTTACGCTTCGATTTCAAAATCTAGTTTATGCTTACAAAGCAGTAGGTGGGCTATGTCGGGTACATTTGGTATCTACATTGAATTTTGAACCCCTACGCCCCCTGACCATCAACCCATGGCCCTGATACCCCGAACCCCCCCCCCCCCCCACAACCCACGAACCTGCCCTTGAATTTGCAGCCCCGGGGTGTGAGGGGATCTATAGTTTCCAACATGAAGGTTCAACTCAACCCTAAACCCCAAGCCCCTATGCCCAAAACCTCAAAGCTCTAAACCGCAAGACCCTGAACCCTAACCCAAAACCCTAAACCCCAAACCCCAAAACCCAAACCCGCCCCAAAACCTCAAAACCAAAAGCCAAAATTCAAAACCCGAAAGCCTAGACCCTTGCAAAAGATTACAAAGCAAGAAACAAAGAACAAGACCCTAAACCCTAAATCCCAAGACAAAAACTAAAGCCCTAAACCCTAAACGCTGAACCCTAAACCCTGAACCCCAAACCCCAAAAGACCAACGAAAGCCCCAAACCCTAAACCCTTAACCCTGACACCTAAAGCCCGGCGGGGGCTCCCTAGAGTTGGCAGACCGTGTGAGGTCAGGTAGCAGTGAGCCCCTGGGTTTTGGGAGGTTTTGGGTCTGAGGGTTTAGGGTTTAGGGCTCAGGGCTAAGGGCTGTGGGCTTTGGGGCCTTGAGGCTATCAGGGTTCAGGGTTGTACCGCTTTAGGGTTTTAGAATGTCAGTTTTCAGTGTTTTGTGTTGGGGTTTTGGGGTTGGGGTTTAGGGTTTAGAGGTTGAAGGGCTCCAGCGTTGTGAGTCACGGCTAGCAACCAGCATAAGGTAGGGGTTGCCTGCTTTGGGGATGGGGGCCGTTGTTCTGGCGTCGTTCGACTGTGACGGCCCTTTCAAGCGCTTGTGACCGTTGTGCAAAAAACATGTATGTATATATATATATATATATATATGTCATCCCTTAAAGGATGCATCATTGGGGCATACGGTCACCGTCGAAACCATAAACCCTAAACCCTAAGCCCATATGTTACGTACCTATTCCCCTCATTCCCTTGGAACTAGGATAAAAACGGGTGCCTTCTTTTGCTTAGAGGGGCTTATAAGGGAACCGGAACCGACAACACCCCCAAAAAGGGAATAAGGGCGCTCCTGGGCATGCTCGCCCTCGTTGTGTCTAAGACCGGTCGGGTATTAGGGTTTAGGGCTATTAGGGCTATGAGGGCTATTAGGGCAATTAGGGCTATTAGGGCTATTAGGGCTATTAGGGCTATGAGGGCTATGAGGGCTATTAGGGCTATTAGGGCGATGAGGGCGATTAGGGCTATTAGGGCTATTAGGGCTACTAGGGCTATTAGGGCTATTAGGGCTATGAGGGTCATTAGGCTTGTGAGGGTTTAGGGTGGGCTTCCGTTGCCGCCGGGCAGCTGCGCACGCTGCAAGAAGTCGACATCCGCCACCTGGAGTGACAGGGAGTTCCCAAACCCCGATCCCTAAACCCGAAACCCTAAACCCTAAACCCTAAACCCTAAGCCCTAAACCCCCAAGCCCTAAACCCACGCAGTTTGCCACATCGGGTTGGGACCCCTCAACCCCTAAACCTCTAACCCCCCACAGCCCCCATAACCGAAACCCATTTCGGGTTTTCGGGTTTTCGGGGTTTTTCGGTGATTTTTGAAGTCTTGGGAGGGTTTAGGGTTTAGGGTTTACGGTTTCGGGTCAAGGGTTTAGGGCGACTGTTTAGGGCTCAGGTTTTTGTTGGGTTTTCGCGCTATCGTGTTGGAGGGTGATTCGACGGCAGAAGTCAAGCCCTTGACCTCTATAGGATCTTGAGGTTTAGGGTTTAGGGTTTGTGGTTTAGGGTTTAGGGTTTAGGGTTTAGGGTTTAGGGTTTAGGGTTTAGGGTTTAGGGTTTAGGGTTTAGGGTTTAGGGTTCAGGGTTTAGGGTTTAGGGTTTTGGGGTTCGGGTTGCTTCGGGCTCAGGGGTTTAGGGTTTAGGGTTGTAGGGTTTAGGATTTCGGGCTTGTGTTGTTCCGGGCTTTGAGGCGTCTTAGATTTTTAGAGTTTACGGTTTTCGTTGTTTAGGGTTTCAGGGTTTTAGGGTTTGAAGGGTTTAGGGTTGTAGGGTGTTTTGGTGGTTTAGGGCTTGGGGCTCAGGGTTTTAGTCAGTTTTAAGGGTTTAGGGGCTTAGAGGGGTTAGGGTTTTAGGGTTTTGTTCCCTGCCTAGTAGGGTTTTAGGGCCAGTTTTGGGTTTAGGGATGTAGGGCTTTAGGGGGTTGAGGTTTTTCGGGGGTTTGGGGGTGAAGGTTGAGGGTTTAGGGCTTTAGCTTTGAGGGTTTGGAGCTTTAGGGTTTAGCAGTGCGCGCTGGAAACGCCAGGGGCTGAATCAGACACACGCCGGTTCGTCACACTGACCGCACGCCCTGACCCCGAATCTCTCAACCCCTAAACCCTGAAACCCTGAAAACCTGACGAACCCCTCCCTGGATTTGGGGCCTGTGACAGCATCGGATGCAGTGATCTGGGGCTTGGAGCGTCCACTGTCCAGGATTTGAGAGCCTCATTGGGTTTCTTTTACCCTAACTCGAAACACTAAACCCTGAACTCCCTTACTGTAGTGTCCGCGACAGATTCTTTCTTTATTGAGGCGAGGATTCCAAGTATATGGTTGCCGTGCAGGGGGTGTGAATCTGGGGTTTAGGGTTTCGGGTTTAGGGTTCAGGGTTTAGGGTAGATTGGAGGGCAACAGGAGAATTTTGCGAATTTCTGAGGATGCCCGAAGCTTGCCTCAGCACCGGCAGCCCCCGCCGCGGCCACGCGGATCTCGGCGAGACTCCATTCTGGGAGCCTGCTGCAGGCAGGATCTAGGGTTTAGGGTTTAGGGTTTGGGGTTTAGGGTTTAGGGTTTGGGGTTTAGGGTTTAGGGTTTAGGCGTTTAGGCGTTTAGGCGTTTAGGCGTTTAGGCGTTTAGGCGTTTAGGCGTTTAGGCGTTGAGGCGTTGAGGCGTTGAGGCGTTTAGGCGTTTAGGCGTTTAGGCGTTTGGGTTGAGGGCTTCAGCCCGATAGACCCCAAACCCTGAGACTGAAACGGCCCGATTGGAACCCAACTAGACGGGCCCGTTCTTGCACCCTGCATTTTTTGGTTGACCTTGATTCCTTGGGTTCTTGAAGGGTTTGTGGTGTAGAGTGTTAGGGTTTAGGGTCTAAACCCTCAACCTCAGCCCCTGAACCCCAAGACATCCCTAAGGCCAACACCCCCCCCCCCCCAGCCCCACGCACCTCTCCAAGGCAATCTTGGACAGCGCGGCCTCCAACTTCGGGCTACTGACCTTGGGGGCTGCGCTTAGGGCAGTTAGGGTTTAGGCGTTTAGCGCTTAGGGATTTTCAGGGTTTTGGGGTTTTGGGGTTCTTGGGGTTTCGGGGTTTAGGGATTTAGGGATTTAGGGGTTTGGGGGCTGCGGGGGTTGTGGGGGGGCTCAGGGCTTTAGGGGGGAGTTAGTAGCTTGGGGCTTCGGCTTTAGGGATGTAAGGGGGCTTAGGTACTGGGGTTTTGGGGGGTTTGGGGTTGAGGGTTCCCGGCCTGCCAGAAGCAAACCTGAACCCAAACTGAACTTGACGAGGGCTTGGGCTCAGAGTTTTAGGGTCGATTTGGGGGTTTAGGGTTTAAAAGTCAGTCGTTTTCTTGTGCTTGAATCTTTAGGGACTAGGGATCTAAGGTTGAAGGTCTAAGGCCCCTTGAGCTCAAACACCTATAACGCCCTCTATACACCCAGACAAAGGAGGCAGGAGCTCAGCCAATAAGAGAACACAGAACAAAAAAAAGGCAAAGGGTACCCTCAGCTACCAAGAAGGAAGTCCTAAACCCTACAACCCTCAACCCTGAACCCTAAAACCCTCAACCCTAAAACCCTGAACCCTAAAACCTATACCCGAAACCCCCACAAAGGAGCCAGGAGCCCCGTAAGCCCCCAACACCCAGCAGCGCCAGAGATCGCCAGGCCGCGACGATGCCGAAGGCCTCCTCTGAGAGGTCCTGCAAAGCTTTTGTGGGTGCCCTAGGAGTTTAGGGTTTAGGGTTTGAGAGGTTGAGTAGCTGAGGGGTTTAGGGGTTTAGGGGTTTTGGGGGTTAGGGGTTTAGGGAGTAAGGATTTAGGGTTAGGGGGTTTAGGGTAGGGTTTGGGGCTTAGGCTTTAGGGTTTAGGGGGTCAGTGGTTTAGGGTTTCGGGTTTAGGGGTCTCAGGTCTACAGCACTTGCGATGTTTACAAGGGCATGCTCTGAGGACAAGATTACACCCTCAACCCTGGCTTGCGGTTTGTAAGGTTTAGGATGTAAGGGCTTAGGGTTTAGGGTTTGGGGCATAGGGTTTAGGGTTTAGAGTTGAAATCGAGGTCTGGAACTTTGAAAACCCAATCGTTTGAACGTGAGAAGCCTGGATCCGAAAACTCAAGGGCGCCAACCCTGAACCCCACCGACTAGGGCTTAGGGTTTAGGGTCTAGCGACAGTTTAGGGTCTAGGGTTTAGGGTTTAGGGCTCAGGATGGTTTAGGATGTAGGGTTTATAAGGCTTATCACCCCACCCCCAAACTCTTCCATCCCAAAAACCCGAAACCCGAAACCCTGAACTCTAAACCCTCCAAAACCTGAATTTTGGGCACCCATGCCCTTAACCCTAAACCTCAAAAATGCCGCCCCACCTCCAGAACTCGCGCCCCTTCGACGAGGGCACCTGTAGGGTGTTGAGGGTTTATGTTTTAGGGTCTGTGGTCCAGGGTTGCGGGTTTAGGGTTTAGGGTTTAGGTTTTAGGGTTTAGGTTTTAGGGTTTAGGGTTTAGGGTTTAGGGATACAATGCTCTGGCATTCGGAAAGACTTCAGGAGAGGCCCCGACAAGATCCCGACCGCCCCAAAACCCTAAACCCCATATAAACCTCGTAACAAGACCCCGTCATCAACCCTACAATTCCTGCAAACGCTACAAAGCCCATGAACTCTATGAACCCTATAGACCCGATTCCGAAAATCCTATAAAACCCCCAAAATCCTAAAAGTGAGACCGAAAGCCACCCAACCCTAAGCCCGAGCCACCAAGAAGCACCGCTGGTTCCTCGACACCCAGGGTCGCCAGCGTCCAAAGAAAGGAGGCCGGCGACCGCTGGGGCTCCGACTCCTTGTGTTTTGGGGGGTTTTAGGGAACTAGGGTTTCGGGTTTAGGGTTTAGGGGTTGTGTATCCCCGATATCCGTCGAGGCCTCGGGCCGGAGGTGTATAGGTTGTCAGAACAGGCACCCCCCCTCCTTTCGGACCCTTTCTTGCCTCAAATGGGTACCCCCCCCAAGGAAACCGGGGTCCGCAAGCGCCCCCCCCCCCAACCCCTGCCCGGACCCCCTCTCCCCCCCCCTTCCCCCCCGCCCACCCAAAGCCAACGCAGAACGTGAGGGTTTAGGGTTTCGGGTTACGGGTTTATGGTTTATGGTTTGGGGTTTAGGGTTGAGGGTTAGTTTAGGATTGAGGGCTTAGGGCTCAAGGTTCAGGCTTTGGGGTTTAGGGTTTTTTTGGGTTTAGGGTTCAAGAGACGGTTCGGCTTGGATTGATCGTCGGGGGGGGGTAGGGGGGGTGGGGGGGGGGGGAAGGGGGGAAGGGGGGAAGGGGGGAAGGGGGAGGGGGCAGGGCGGCTTAAGGTTTAAGGTTTAGGGTTGAGGTTCAAGCTTAGAATCTTCGGCTAGTGTAATGCATCCCCGGCCGTGCTTGAGCCTCGAAAACCCGCTCACGTTCTGCGTTGGCTTTGGGTGGGCGGGGGGAATGGGTCCAGCGACTTGGGCGCTGCGGAATCACCATGCTCACGCGGATGCGCTGGGCCGGGCCGAGGCGGGTCGCGTAGCGTTAAAATTACCCTTTACTTCTCTCATTCCTTACCAAGAACCAGCAAGTCTCTGGAAGGGCGGACTGCTGATGTCCTGACTTTCGGTACTGGGTGACTCATCCGAGCGTCGATGTCATCCCACCAGTTTCAACGCTACGGTCTGGAGGTTTTGGGGGTTTTGGAGGGTTTTGGGGGTTTGGGGGGTTTGGGGGGTTTGGGGGGTTTTGGGGGTTTGGGGGGTTTTGGGGGGTTTGGGGGGGTGTTAGAGGTTTAGTCAGGGAATGGGCGATGGTAAACGTCTGAAACTAGACGCCTCGATACTCTACAGGCGCACCGTTGAGCCAAGAATCGTGGAGAAGTTCTATCGCCAGGTCCTTACTTTGCGTCCAGTGGCAAACTTAGGTTGCAACTGGGACACTCAAGGTAACCAACGTGTAGAGACCTGAGATGTAACCCTACACCCTTAACCCTAAACCCCAAACCCTAAACCCCAAACCCTAAACCCTAAACCCTAAACCCTAAACCCCAAACCCTAAACCCCAAACCCCAAACCCTAAAAAAACCACCAAACCCCAAACTCCTGGCAGCTTGAGGCTCCAGATGGCCTTGGTCCATGCAGGCGGACAAGAGGGCATCGTACCTGCACAGGCTACCCTGAACCCCAAAACCCTAAACCCTGTACCCTAAACACCCCCGCGTTTGGGGTTTAGGGTTTAGGTTTTAGGGTTTAGGGCTAGGGTTTAGGGGTTTAGGGTAACCCAATTCCTTCCACCCCTTGACCCTAACGCACAGGGGCGTGCGGCCAAGACGCACGCCGAGCGGAGGTGTCAGGCCGGCCAGGGAGTGGCTCCGCAGGAGACACAGGGCGTGCCTGAATCATGTTCGGGGGTTAGGGTTTAGGGTTTAGGGTTAAGGGTTAAGGGTTAAGGGTTTAGGGTTTAGGGTTTATCTCTCTCTGACTGAGGCACGGCCAGTTCCAGCCATCGACAAAGGCGCTGAGTTGTGCTCCCAGCCCGGAGGTGAGGTAGCCTGCCAAGAGTCTCTTTTTGGGCTACTCTCGCTATCGAAGCTCTCCATAGAGCCGATAACCGTCGAAAGTTCGGCAGTTGGCGAATAACGCTTTCACATGCTAGGCGCAGCCTTTGCAAGCCTCCTGGGGGTCTTGGGCCTGCAATGTATTCAAAGGCTCTCTCGCCTGCCATATGGCTGAAAAGCATGCCAAGCACTGTTTCTGAGGGCGGCGCTAAACTGAACGAAGGAAGCCGAGAACCTCTAAGCCCTAAGCCAACCCCTACTTATGAGGGCGGCACAAGCCCGGGACCCGGAGATGTCACGAGTACGGGGACGGGGACATGAGCGCGTGGGGCACAAGGAGCAGCGGCGGCGGAGGCTTATTCGCCGCGTTCTTCGCCGGCATTCCACCACTGCGACCCTTCATCTCGAGCGAAGCCTTTAGTGAAGAGCCAGATCGGCAGGGTGACTTCAAATAAGCCACCCGGCGCTGACAGCATGACTCCGATTGAGAAGCCAAAGATTTCTGCTATCGCGCCCACCGCAAACACTGCATATCCAACGAGACCCCAGGCAATAGCCCCGAACGCAAGAGAGTGTAACCCAAAACCAAGGATGCACATAGCCACCTGGTAAGCAAAGAAGTTCGCTTTCTGCAGGACTGCAAATAATACAGCTGTCTGGTCACTAGCCACTTCTGTGAGCGCCTGCTGCCATAGCAAGCTGACGATGCCGACGATCAGCAATATTCCCTCGAAGCAACGCCTCACAACATATCCCAAAGCAACGCTCTCATCATACTCGTGCAATATGGAATACATCAGCACCCCGATGACCGCAACGCAGAGTTTCCCAGCATCAGGAGGGCACCAAAGGCCATCGCATGACGATCGCTGCCGTGGACAACAGCGGACTTAGCCATGCCGGACCCAGTCACGTCGCCATTGCAAGCAGGAACAGGGCGCCGATCAGACCATCGCGCATGCGCGCATGGCATGTCTGTGCTCCGACAGAACCGATCTCGCACTACCACAAGTGTTGGTGTTCTCCCGCCATGGTTCTCGGAGCGAAAAGGCTTGAGCCGACGTGCAAAGTTCGACCCCAGACTCGCCACTTCAGTTCAAGTCACTCAAGACGGTGCCGTTTCGGTTTGTCGACCTTTTTTCTTGAGGGGGGGTCAGGGACGGGGGCAGAGTCAGACAGGAGAAATCACAGATGTCGAGCCTTGTGCCAACGATTTCAATGCGAGTGTCGCTTCAGTGAGATACCTGGAGTTTGGGGAAACCCTAAACCCTAAACCCCAACTCCCAAACCCCAAACCCCGAACCCCAAACCCCAAACCCCAAACTCTAAACTCTAAACCCTAAACCCTAAACCCCAAAACGAAACCCTACGCACCGAACCCTAACCTCACAAAACTCTGTTAACCTTAGAATTAAACCTCAGGGCTCCCATCGGCTCCCCACCTTGCGATGCCAGGCCTTCCTGGGCTTTGTTGCTGTTTAGGGTTTAGGGTTTAGGGTTTAGGGTTTAGGGTTTAGGGTTTAGGGTTTAGGGTTATAGGGTTATAGGGTTATAGGGTTATAGGGTTATAGGGTTATAGGGTTATAGGGTTATAGGGTTATAGGGTTTCGGGTTTCGGGTTATAGGGTTTAGGGTTTATCGTGCTATCGGGTTCCAGGTTAGGGTTGTAGGGTTGTAAATTATAAGGTTATGGGTGATTTCTTGTTCACTGGTTGGTGCTTTGAGCTTCTGCTTCCAGAAGTGTGGGATAGCTACTCACCCCTCAAATAGGATAGCCCTTAAGACCCTGTGAGACACAATCGTGAGTATCATCCTCTTCAACGGTGTAGGGTTTAGGGCTGAGGGTGGACCAGGTTCAACGAGCCACACCAAAAACAGCCACTCTCACAGTAGAGCCTCGGAGCCTGACGGGCAAGTTGTTCCTTCCGCACCGCTAAGCAAGTCAACGAACGTTCTGTGCCTTCTTCGCACACCTCATGGGAGTTTACGAAAATAAGGCAAATAAGGGCCCCAAGAATAGACCCCAAATAGTAGGATTCCCTTCACGGATAAGGACCCCAACAAAGTACCCATCATTTCGGAAACCCCCTCATGTAAAAGAAACAGATCATGGAATTGGCGCTGGTTCTTCGCGCCTTCGCAGGAGGGACATTTGCTTTGCCTCTGGCAGAGCTGTCAACAATCCCGCCTATCTCAACTCATTAGCAGAAGCACCGCTTGCGTGATGACAGCGACACTCGCCACACCCGCAGAGCTGATCATAGCGGATGTGTCGCCAGAAGTGCTCGTCGTGGACGTCGAGCCGGCCGAGCTCGTGGACGTTGTGTTCCCGGTGCTTGCAGTCCCGGCTGTGTAGACCGTGGGGTCCGCAATGATGGCATTGTACCCAGCCTCTTGCTAGCCCCTGTAACCATATTATGGTACAAGGGTACTTTTTTGGAGGTTGGTCAAAGGGGAACCCAGAACCCAAAAAACCGTAAAAGGGTACCACTCAGCTACCACGGGGCCTCCCAGCAGTTGGACGCGGCTCCGAGGGCGCGCTGGGTGGTGCACCTGTCCATCGTCAGGGACGTCGTCATCTGGCACACAAGGTCGATCGCGCCCTCCTCGAGATACTGCAAGACAGAGTGATGGATATCCACCCCGTTTGGGTTCTTCATCAGCGCGTAGATGCCGTCGGTTCCGTAGACTGTCATGGTGACGGTGCCATGGGTAGCAGTAGTGTCAGCAGTCTTCACCTGGCAGTCGGCGAGAGGCTTGGTCAACTTCGCCCACATCGTGGCATCCGTCGTGACGAAGCTCGGGTTGTACATCATCGCGTCGCGGAGCGGAGCGATCATCTCGAAGGCCTTGACGTAGTTGAGGAGGTCCCCCGTCAGGGCCGTGGAGGAGGCCACGAGGACGTCACCCTCAGTCCACGGCTTCGGAGTGACGGCCAGGTCCTGGCCCTGCGAGTTCACGATCTTCCGCATGTCTGTGGCCCCGACGCTGAGGTCCACGTTGTGCGGTGCTGTGCCGACGGTGTTGGTGCTGCTCGCCACGAAGTAGCACAGGTTCTCGGAGCTCAGGCGGGTGGTGTCGCACACGTAGAGCAGGCCGTTCTCGGAAGCGATCGCTGGCCTGGCCAAGAGGACGCCCAGCGCACGGAAGAGAAGCATTGAGCTCATTGCGCTCTGTCGACCTACGTGTCTGTGTCGTGCGTCTGTCACTTTAAGCCGAGAGACGCTGCGTCTTCCCCCATGTTGCACCTACACACCCCAGACCCCAAAACCACGCTTCCATGACGCAAACCCTCATTCATTACACCACCTATCCTGATACAAAATTGTCAAAGCCCAAGACCCAAACCGCCAAGGACCGGCACCTGAATAAGCCATAACCCCAGAAAGCCCCATGAACCCTACAAACCTGCACGAATCCTATGTTCACCCTAAACAACCCTCTCTTGCACGCCTCCCCGGAACCCACCCTCGAGGCTCCCCCCTTTGAACCCAGTTAAGTTTCCCCTGAACCCCAAACCCTAACCCTAAATAACCTGAAGGCCAGGGGCGACGGAAGCCAGTGAGCAGGGCCAGGGCGATTGGGGACTGCGCACGCCTCCTCTGCAAGCTTGGAAATCGTTTTGGGCTTTGGGCTCAGGGTGCTTAGGGTTTAGGCCTTTGGGGTGGGGACTACGGTTCCAACGTGGGCATTTCAGTCAACCGTTGCTGCTGGAGGCTTCCCGTAGAAATTCCCCTGTTTCCCTGTCGACGCGTAGTGTTTATAATATATATTAGGGTCTAGGGAGTGGGTATAGGATTCTAGGGTTCTTGGGTTCTAGGATTCTGGGGTTCTGGGGTTGTAGGGTTTTTGGGTTTTAGGGTGTAGGGGGAGAGCAGGAGGGAATAGTCGTTTTCGGGTTTACGGTTTGGTTGCGGGCGGGTCTGCGAGTCCGGCTTCCATATGCAGAGCCTGTTGGATGTCTCGTGGCAAGCAATGCAGTGTCATGAACGAAAAATGAACCCCTATGAACATGCCAGAATTCAACCGATTAGCCCGGAAAACCCTTCAATAAACATTGTAATGACCCGAAAAGCCCCTATACCCCAAGCCCTAAACCATAAACCCTAAGTAGGATAATCAACCCTATAAGGCCCACCACCACCACCACCACCACCACCACCAGCACCAGCACCAGCACCACCAACACCACCACCACCAGTTTGTCGCAGCTTTTGCCCAATAAACCCTGCAACAAACCCCATTGCGGCGGCCTACGACAAGGCCTATAGGCTATAATCTACAATAATACGCCCTCGAATACGCTTATTAGCCCAATAAGACCCAAAAACCGCTAAATCCTGTATGCCCAGCCTTCGCCCAACCTCTCCGCCTGTTGCCAGCGCGTTCCCAGTGCGACTTTCTGCCTTAACTCGCTGCTTCACCCCCCCACTCCTCAATACTTGCCGTCGCTAATTAGTCAAGACTGTGCTAGGTGAGTTGCTGTCGTTCAAGCTTTTAGCAACGTTTCTGGAACCTCTGAAACATGCAACACACCCCAAAAACATCTTCCACGTCCAGTCCAGCCACAGCTCCAGTTGTGCCTGGAGCCTGCTGCGCCTCAGATCTCGGAGGACTTCGTGGGCTACCGGCCAGGGACTTGCCCCCCTGCAGCCAGTCATCACTGCCAGATGTTGAAGCTGATCTTGTTCCAGAGCCCGATTCTGCAGCGCCTTGAGCAGCGACAGGCCCTGCTGCCACACGGCAGCTGCCGCACAGGAGCTGAGAGCGCTCGCCCCAGCAGTGGCGCCCTTCAGCTCCCTCGGCATCCCGCACAGGAGGGCCAAGGCCGGCTGCCACTGCCCGGCATTGGCGCACGCCCCCAGCGCCGCATTGTAGCACACCTCCGCGGACATCTCCGGCACCTGGGCCAGGAGGCCCAGAAGGCCCAAAGCCGACTCCCAAAGCTCAGCTTTCCCGCATGCGCTGATGGCCGCGCTGAGGGCGAAGGCATCGAGTCGGAGCACCGTCAGCTCCGAGAGGAGTGCCAGGGCCCAAGGCCACTGGGCCGCGTCACCGCAGGCGCTGATGGCCGCGGTGTAGCTGATCGCGTCGGCTTCGAGGGCTTCACTTCCTAGGAGGGCCCTTAAAACCCTCTAGACGAAGTTCCTGAATATGCACCCTCTTGACCCCAATAATGGAAAATGTGCATAAACTAAATATCCCAAGGGCCCAAAACCCTACACCCTCAACCCTAAACTGAAAAAAAAACCCTCAAACCCTCGAAACCCTAAAACCCTCAACCCTAAGCCCGAAAACCCTAAACCCTAAACCAACCTGGCTTCGGAGCTCCTGGAAAACTTGCAGGGCCGGCTCCCATTTCGAAGCACAGCCGCAGGCGCTCAAGACCGCATTGTATGCAGTCACATCGGCCCTCAGCCCCAGCGTCTTCCTAGGTTGTGCCCGTTATAAACCCTCTGAAACATATGACTCCTCTCTAGATAGATGTCAAATATCCGAAAAAAGACCTCTCAAACCGAAACATAAGGAGAAACATCTGCAAAACGCCCCTAAACCCTAAACCCTACACCCTAAACCCTAAACCCTAAACCCCAAACCCTCCCTAAACCTTGAACAGCTTCATGTATGCAAGTAAGGCCAGGGATGGCTGCCACTGGCCGCTCTGGCCGGCGCTGATGGCCCCGCTGAAGGTGTAGGAGTCGGCGCGAAGACGCCGAGTCGGCATGCTGGCGAGCCTTAAGGCAGCCCAGGGACCATGTTATAGTAGTATGAATAAATCTCATCATCTGATTCTACTTGTATTAAATACTACTACCACTATGATTGTTATACGGCTGCCCTTTTGGGGGTTTGGTTTTTTACAAGAGGTCCGCAGAACCCAAGAAGGGCAAAGTGGCACCACTCAGCTGCCAAGAAGCAGGGCCTGAGCCTGCTGCCAACACTGCCCGGCAGCGAGGCTGCTGATCACGGAGTTGCAGGTGATGACGTCGGCCTCCACATGCAGCTCAGCCAGTCTGGTAAATATGGAGGCAGCGAGCTGCCACTCCCCTCCTCTGCTGCACGTGCTGATCAGCGCATTGTATGAGACTACGTCAGCTTGCAGACGCTGGCTGCAAAGCTCGCTGGCCAGGAGGTGTAGAGCCTGCCGCCACAAACCTCCGGCAATGCACGAGCTCATCGCGGCATTCCAGATGGCAATGTCCTGCTCCACCCCGGCTTGCTGGATGTTGTTCAGCAAGAGGAAAGCCGACTGCCACTCTTCTGCTTTGGCACAAGCACTGATTGCTGCTATGTATGTGACATTGGTGCAGGACAGGCTCCGCTCGCAAAGCACCTCAAGGAGTTGCAGGGCACGTGCCCACTGGCCAGCCTTTTCACATGCACCGATGGCTGAGTTGTATGTGACTGTAGTGGCACGCACCTGTTCCTGCTGCAGCTGATCCAGCAACTGTAAGGCCCGACGCCAGCGTTGAGCCTTACCACATGCATGGATCGCCCGGTTGAAAGCCACAACTGACGCATGTCGGTTGCCTGCTGGTGCCAAGGACAGCATTGTGCTGTCCCAAGGACAGCCCTGACTCTTCTCATCACCGGCATGGAAGAAAGCTGCCCGCAAGCTCCTTGGCCCTCGGAGCAGCGCCAGAGGACCAGCTGGCTGCGTCCGCTGAAGGTCTTATATTGCTGTGGGGGCTACAATCTGCTAGCTGCTAGCAGATTCCATGCTGGAGACCCCATGCCCCACGACAAGTGGGCTGCGGCCAGCTAGCACAAAACAGGCGGCAGGCCAAGAGTATGGAGAGACGGCTGAACAGGAAATTAACCCTGAACCCTGAACCCTAAAACCTAAACCTACTCTGAAGTCCAAGTAGGAAAACGCACTGCATCCCGAGGTCCCACCTCACTAAACATTGCAGCCCTAACCCCAAACCTCTGACCAATACTTCCGGAAAACTCTGCCTTTAGCTACCATTGGCCTGAGAACCCCAAAAGAAACAAGACAATAATCCCTGTACTCCTCCCAACCGACATCCTTTGTAGGGTTCGGAGTATCGGGGTGCCGGGTTTGTGGAACACTCAGGCCCTGTCAAGACCATGGTGATCCCGAGCGAAACAACTGATACATACAAAGCCTGATGGCAGGGAGCTGCAGCTTAGGAACTTTCACCGGAACCCTAAACCCAAAACCCAGACCCTAAACCCACACCCAAAACCATTTTTCGGATCCCTTTTTTTTTGCCTCGCCAGGACCACAGGCAGTTGAAGGCCAGCAGCCCCCCCCCTTTTCCGCCCCCCCGCCCCTCCCCCCCCCTACCTACCCTGCCCTGAGGGGCCTGGCTCAACCCTACGATCAATCCAAGCCGAACCGTCTCTTGAACCCTAAACCCAAAAAAACCCTAAACCCCAAAGCGTGAACCTTGAGCCCTAAGCCCTCAATCCTAAACTAACCCTCAACCCTAAACCCCAAACCATAAACCATAAACCCGGAACCCTAAACCGTAAACCCAACCCTTATTGCTTGGGGTCCAGCGACTTGGGCGCTGCGGAATCACCATGCTCACGCGGATGCGCTGGGCCGGGCCGAGGCGGGTCGAGTAGCGTTAAAATTAAACCCCCAAACCCTGAACCCTTAACCCAAACCCTACCGAGGACACTGAGTCGGAGGCTTTGCTAAGAGGCACAGAGATGGCGTTGTAGCCTCTGGTGCGAAGGCACGCAGAAGGGTGCACGCAGAAGGGTGCCCTTTGTCGTTCTTAGGGTTTGGGGCAATTTAGAGCATTGCAGCGTTGATGGCAAGTTCCTGAATGCATGAACCGTACACAAACGAGAATTTGAGAAAGCCCTTGTGGGCTTCACCTATCGGCTTCCACCGCTTGGTGCTCTTCATGGATTTATCACCACACAAAGCGGACATGTGTGAAAGGCCAACAGATTGGACATTCGAAGAAGACGGACATGTTCCTAAGTTCTAAGGCTCGTCAAGAAGCACTCACCCCCTCAGGCACATGGTGATCCTAAACCCTAGACTCTAGACCCCAAACCCATTCATTCTAGCGCGTCTTCAAGACTCCGGGCGTCGAAAATAATCCGTCAGCGGCTGTTCATTCTAACCGTTCTACCGGCCTTGCCACGCGGAGGCCTCGCACCCCTCTCCCTACACAGAATGATA